TTTTATCTTCCCCCCCCCCCCAATAAATGTACTTTTATCTCAGTGCGGAATCTACTGCATAAGCTAAGGCTTTGTTGTATTTTCTTTTAAATCATTTTCTTGTCTCGTTGAGCCCAAGAAAGTGCGTAATCCTATATACTATATTTACTTATCTTTTTGTTAATGTAGGAAAAGTAGTGGGTTTTCAAGAGGAGCCTCCATCTACAGAGGCGTCACAAGGTTCGGAATATTATTTATCTTTTGTTTGTTGTTTTTGTCTGGTTTATGTGTTCAATTAAGGAGCTAATTCAACAAAGGTTTGTTTTATTTTAGGCACCACCAACATGGTAGATGGCAAGCAAGAATCGGAAGAGTGGCAGGAAACAAAGATCTCTATCTTGGAACCTTTAGTGAGTTTTATTTTCTTTTTCTTGCCCTCTACAAATTTATACTGAATTTCTAGTCCTCTATTTAGCTCGTCTAGTCAGTAGANTATTATCTTTTTGTTGCCCTCCACAAATATATAATATCTAGTCCTCTATTTAGCTCGACTAGTCAATAGATCATCCATTGTTTATATTATATTATATTATTATCCATTATACTCCCTCCGTTTCAATTTATGTGAACTCATTTGACTGGGCACGGAGTTTAAGGGAAGAAAGAAGGCTTTTGATCTTGCGGTCTAAAATGAGTCACATATATAAATCTTTGTGTAAAGGTAAATTGTTTCTAAATAAGGAAATGAGTCATTTTTTTTGGCACGGACTAAAAAGGAAATAGGTTCACCTAAATTGAGAGTGAGGGAGTATTAGTTGTGTTTATTCCACCAAATCCAAAAAAACAAAAGCAACAAATTAATATGCACGTCATTCAACAGCACTGCCTTACTGCTATTTGATACCTTTGGCGGTGGATACCCTAAATTATCTGGCTCTGCCGTAAGGTAGGGGTTGACAATAAATGACATACGTGGCTTTTTTTAAGTGGTCTTTTGGGTGGCAACAATATGAACGTTTTATTTTTGTTTTTGGCTGGATCTCCTTTTAATTGCCCAAGGTTTTTGTTGCTGGTATTTGCTTGTCCCTACTCTCTGCTTACTTGACAGTCGAGAAAGAGGGGTGGGAATATGTTTTTATAGGACTACCGTAGCTTGTGATAGGTACAATAATATTAAGAGGTTAACTCAAAAGAATTACATTATCTCTGAAAAACGACTACAAATAATTTTTGTTAAAAAATTAGAATTGCTAAGTTAGGAAATAAGACATACAGTAAGTTAAATTTCTTTATAGTGAATATTAATTCAATCCCGAAACTAATAAATTTAAGTTATACACAGTTAATAATCTTTTTCCTATTAATGAATTTTAACCGGCAATATATTGCAAGTTAGTTGTCATTTTTATTATAGTATAAAATAAATACAAGAGTCAGGCTTTGACCGTGTATTTATGCTGGCTAGTCTCTTAGCTTCCAACTTGTCCTTGAATTTGTTCAATATGTTTCATTCATTAGAATTGTCTTTTTAATTTTATTTTTCGATGGGGAAGGCTGTCTGTGATGATGATCTTTTGCAACAAATTTAAGTCCGTCAATATAATCAAAACTCTTTAGACTAATCGTGATGATTTTAATGCAAATAATAGGCACCCAAGAGGAAGCAGCAGAGGCCTATGACATTGCTGCAATCAAATTTAGAGGACTAAACGCTGTGACGAATTTTGACATTAGCCGTTACGACGTTAAAAGTATCGCCAGTAGCAATCTCCCTGTTGGAGGGATGAACAATAAATCAAAAACCTCATCAGAATCTGCTTCTGAAAGTAGTAAGAATGTCGAAGGAAACCGATCGGACGATCGAGATCGAGATATCTCCTCTGCTACCTCTGCTCCATTTTCCTCTCAAGCTCCAAATATGGTCAACCTTGGTTTCGGATTGCCTATCAAGCAAGACTTTTCCGATTTCTGGTCAATCCTCGGATACACTAATGATCAAAACAACGGTAGCAAAAACCCTAGTGCAAATGCAACATTCTGTCATGGTCCGCCTGATGGTACGACTATTCAAACACAAGGTACAACAATCATCAGCATGGATCTCCCTGCTACTACAACCTCTCTGAATGAAGTCAACAACAGTCGAGTCATATTCAATGAAGAAGGGTACTATCACCAGCAGCAGGAGCAGGAGCAGGAGCAACAAAGTGGTAGTTGTAGCACAATAACTTCTGTCCCTAGTGACATAAGCATGGCCTTAAACAGCAATGCCACTACTACTACTACTCTTGATGGCTCTAATTTTGGTAATTGGATGCCACCTTCTCTTCATTCATTCCAGACTACTGCAAAGAATAACCTAGCACCATTCCAGACCCCAATTTTTGGCATGGAATAAAATGGAAAATAATTGGAGGGAAATTGAAAAGACGAGAGAAGTGGTGGACTTTTCCCTCTTGTGTTTTGAATGGTTTTTTGTCACTTACCAAAGAAGTGGGCTGGTCAAAAAAGGTGGTATTGGTGAAATTTGCTTTTTTGCATGGGCAAGAGAAGTGGGACGTACAATAATTTCACAGCAACTAAAACAGAGATGGCAGGGTGCTAACTGAATCTTTTTGATTAAGTTGTTTCTTTACCTTTTTTTACTTTTTGCTTGTTTGACTGACATGAGTTATCTATAGCTAGAAAATCCCTTTTGTACATTCCCGTCAGCAACAATTTCATTTCCAATCAAATTTCTTCCCGCTCATTCTCCCCTTTGACGCGCCTGCGTTGTTTTCTTCTGATGGGGTACGGGATATGAGAATTGACCACATATGTATGCTGTCATTTTCTTCAGAATGATGACTAGATACAAGTTTTTTCTCCTCTTATTTTCCAGAGCACGTTTGGGTTGATGTAGCAAGATGATCATGATAATAAAACCGTATTACTTTAATTTTGTGCTTGGTTACTTATACATCTCTTTAAGGGGTCCTTTGGAAGGGTGTAGAAGAATAGTGCGGGATAATGTGTATTAGTAATGCATGAGTTAGTAATGTAAGTATTAATTATGCAGATATTATTTCTTAGCTATTGTTTGGTGTGATGTATTTAAAATTCTAATGCATTACATAATTTTAAGAAATATAGTTGTTTATAAAAATACCTTCCATATTCTCTAGCTTTAAGGGACTTTAACGATAATTTTGTCTTTAAGCATACTAATGCATGCATTAATAGCCTTGGTATTACTAGTGTCATGGTTTTTTATGCATTATTTATATATAGGATAATACCAAGTATGATGTATAACTAATAATACAAGTATTAGTTATACATAGGTTAGAAAAATATATCAAACAAGATATTAGTAATGCGCAAAGCTAATGTTTGCATTATTTTTTTTAATACCTCCTACCAAACGACTCCTAAGTAGTATGTTCCAAGCATTTTATACCATTGTTTACCCTCAAAATCGTGTGCTTGTAAGTGTTTTCAAGGATACGTGGTTTAATTCGACACAAAGCAATTAACAACAACAAACCCAGTATGATCCCAACAGGTGGGGTCTGGGGAGGGTAGTCTGTATGCAGACCTTACCCCTACCTAATGCAGGTATGGAGATTGTTTCCAGTAGACCCTCGGCTCAGGAAGGGTAAGAAAGAGAAGACGAAAGCAAGAAAGGAAGAAAGAAGGAAGAGAAAAGAAAAAATGAGAGATAAAGCAATTGATGAAGTAAATAACGAATAAAGAAATACAGAAATAATTCAAACCACACGAGTGAGATAGTTCCAGTCTCAGTGAAATAATCAGCCTCGATTCGAGTCCACTACGATCGACAATAATGAACAGGAAAGATAGCTAATAGCAGAGAAAATAATAATATACTGCCTTGAAGTGCGAGTTACAATGTGTTTTACAAGCAATCATACCCCCTTTATATAGTAGGGGAATCCTGCATTAGGTACAACTCTATAAAAGGTAAAAAATTCTCCTAATTAAATGATTGCCGATTTCTTCTTAGTACGTGCTGAGATCCCTGTAAGCACGCGATTTTTGCCCTATGTGAGAATTACTCCCAAAAAATTCAATCCGTTTCGATTGTCCTTTAATTGGGAAAAACTCCCTTCTGCGCCCCTTTCCGGCGGCGCGGGCGAAAAAGGAAGTGTGACAATCCCCGTTGTGATATTCGGTCGATCACGAATATCACGATCTTTTGTTGGCCGTGCTCGACCACCTAACAACGTTCTTCGAAGTTAATCAAGGTCACAACCCCGATATCCTCGAGGGCAGGAGTTATGGTCCGGACTCTAAATTGATGAGATCTCTACCTCGGTCTAGGCCCCCCTATTACTATAACTCGGCCTTGCTCGTTATGTCGGAGACAAGGATATACTATGAGATCAGTTTTAACTGTATATAGATAGTCCCTTCATTTCTCAAAAAAAGAGTTGATGAGAAATGGCATGAGTTTCCCTGTTCTTTCTTTGGTATTTCGCATCAGAAACGACAAAAATGCGAAACGTCTTGTCAGTCACGTCATAATGGCATTAAATGTTTGTTAGCCGCCGGCCGGCTATCCCTGAATGCAGAACGTCGCTGAGTTCCTATACATACTGCCTCTTTTGTTCATTTTCACTTTTCATCAAACCTTCTACCTTCAAGTTTTCAAGATTTCCGCACTCCTCCAGTGTTTTTACCTCCATCACTCAAGGTCTTTTGCAAAAGTTTCACCCATCTTCTTCCCAAACCAACAAGCCATTCTTAAACTTTCTTTCTTTCTTAATATTTCCCAATTTTTCCTCCATTTTTACTCTCCAAACAAATGGCAAAGACTTCCAAAACCGTTCCCAGAAAAAAATATCTCTCAACTTCGCGTCCCACCACTAGGGTCGAGGCGACCACCCGGAACGTGGAAGTTGATAAACCGGTGGCTGAACCTCCTTTGAAAATGTTCATACCCGGGGGTGCTCGGTAAATAACGATTTTAAGGTTGAAAAAACTTCTTCGGTATCGGGTCGGTGCGAAGACTTCTCGAGATACATCTGTTCGATTACCGAAGAAATCCTCTCAACGGTCCAGATAAATTGCAACTGGGCTAACAAAACTGTAGTGGTTCCCGACCCTGATGAGGCCATTACCACCCATGCCGAGGGATACTTGAGTTTTTAAACTTATCCTTTCACATTGGGACCGATGGACCCAATCATCATAGATTTCTGCAACAGGTATGAAGTTTGCCTCGGTCAGATCCATCCTTCAATGTGGAGGATTGTGATCCTACTCCGGTTCTTCGTGAGCAAAATTGGTAGCTGCCGGTTCACCGTAGATCACCTACTTCGTTTGTAAAATCCCCGACTATTCCGAGGGGGGCTGATAAAGCTTGTGCGTCGGGCCAGCAATGCCACGTTCTCTAGTATCGATGAGGACCGGAATCGAGGCTGGCAAGGCCATTTTGTCCGAGTGAAAAATTCGGACATGATCCCGGTGGAATGCATGCCATTACCCGAGAAGTGGAATATAAGACGTAAGTGGAACTTTCCTTTGAATATTGATTTTACGTTTACTTCTCTTTTTCTTATTGGCGTTTGTGGTGGGGCAGTCGTTGCTCGGGTACCAAATGTTGTTCCTCGACTCAAGGAGTGGGTCAAGGGTATCATTTATCAGATGCCCTACTCCGACCGTTCGTGGCGCGAACTCTCGAAGGGCCGTTGGGAGGCCCGTTCCCATGGTAAGATCCCTTTTCTGATCAGGTCGTGTTAGGCCTATTCTTTTACTATCAAGTTCTTATTCCCTTTACTTTCTTTCTCAGGTTTGCCTAAGGATGTTGAACTTAGGCCTCCGGTTGGCGACGAGGACTTGCCCGTTGAGGCTCCTGCTCCGAGGCAGGCCAGAGAAAAGAAAAGGAGGAGGGCTCAGAGCTCCCCAAGCTCGGAGAAAAAAAAATTGAGGAAGAGGCTGGTCCGCAAGCCAAAGGAAACCTCCAGCTCCCGAGT